AAAGGAGTAGAGGCCATCTCCACGTCCTCGATGCTTGGCATACAAAGTTCCTTCATCAAACTTGCAAGGTATGGAATAGTCTTCTACCTGAAATATTTCCTTTGCACTGTGACATGGGGTTCTTCAAAAACCTAGTCAACAGCGCTCTCAAGGGCTGACAATGCATAGGCAGCTACCCTAATGTTGCAGAGTTCCATGGGCGACGATGACCACTTCCCATCAAATGGCTCGTCTGATCGTTTGCCTCCTATTTTGCATTTTTTTTAATCCTTAAAGAAGACCTGTGTCCAATAGCGGAGCGTAAAATGAGATGATGATAATGACTCTGTTGTTTGGCAATAGTTGATATCGATTAAGGCCGCATTTCTTCCGTATATCATAAAGCTCGTAAACCATTGTGCACTAATAAATTGCATTGTCACAAAGCTCAAATAACTGCCTCTCGTTTCCCATTTTTTTGTTTATTGTAAAAAAAAGACAAACGATCTATGTCAGTTTCATCAGAAACAGATTTCATAGCAATATGATTGATCCGTTCACAGCTTAAGATTTTGTAGTGTAATCTTTAAGGGTAACCTGTTTTAAGACGACGACTTAAGGTGTAACACGATGTAGAATGAAAACAAAAACTGTTAGAAAATTAACACTGTTTTATTTATAGTCTACTTATTTTAGCCCTTACATACTGACGTTAAAAATTGTTAAAAATTCTCAGCTAGAGTGGTATATTTCTATAAGCACACTTGCAGTCAATATTTCAGACATATTCGCAGCACATGTCTCAGGTTTGTTAAAGCTTCAAAATTACTATAACTCTAGCAAAAGGTGTCAGTTGATTTAGAACGAGTCACGTGACAGGATATTTATTCAGAACTACACTATTATAAAAAAAATTGAGTAAAACTACGTGTGGACTCTTGCAATACATAGAGTTGTGAATTTATGCCACTTTCACTCCACTTGGCCTATAGACGAGTTTTTGAACGATTTGACACAAAGTCAGTTTTCAAAAAATATGCTTAGTTTAGTCTCACTCATTATTTGAAAATATCAAACAGTTTTAAGCAAATACGTAAAAATGTTCAGACTTATGCTCTTAGACTTGAGACTTGAGACTTATGTCTCGGAAATCTACATTGCGTACTCTTAGCGGATCCAGACTACTCTAAATATTGAAATTGAATTGTCATATTATTGCCATTTGCATAAATGTCAATCAAATTTATTGCTCCATTACGTAACGTACTTACTGAACTTTTGCTATCATGAAAGAAAAATCGTAATAATAAACAATGTACTTCAAACATAAATAATTTACAGCACATCTCTGTAACTCGCTCAATGATGTGAGATGCTCATTATAAATTGTTCGAATAGGTTAGCACATTATAAAAATATAATCTTCATAGCAGATATTTTCAATATATTAACGCAGATGCATCATATATATTTTGCATTTACATGTACGTACAGGCACGGATTTAACTGCACAAACTGTATTTTTTAACCGACTTCAAAAAAAAGGTGGAGGCTATACGTTCGGATGCAATGTAATTAATTATCTATGTTTTCTAATTTCTCCGTCAACTATGGACCGATTTTGAAAATCTATTTTTTGTTTGAAAGTGTGCACTCTCGTGGTGGTCCCATTATCACCAAGTCAGAATCTAATGAAGGAATCCCATAGAAGTCAAGGGAAATCCTCAAATATTATAGGCATGTCAGTGTATTCCCCAATTTCTCCGTTAATTGTGGACCTATTTCTAAAATTCTTCTGACTATCGAGGTGGTCCATGACGGTGACGATGCTGTTCCGGGTCCGTTTCGGCTATCACAAATTACTGATTATTCATACAATGTAATTGTACGCTGTGTAAATAACATAAGGTACCATTTTTAACTAGTTATTTTGCATTGTGGCAAATCCTGCGGTCACCATAATGATTAGGTTATACTAATTCACTGAAAATAAGGACTTGGATAGTTTAAATAACAATGTTTTTGGACATTTTTGGTTTCGCAAAGAAAAATCAGTTTAAAAGTCAATAATTATAACGAATTAGTGGAGTAATTTCACAAAAAAAATAATTGAATATTATGGTAGCAAAACATAGTGTCATTCAACAAACTTTAAAAAGTCAATTGTCTTAAAAACGAATGACAGATACATAAAAAGAGGAAACAAAAAAGTGACATCATTGGTTCCACAATAACTAAACACGGACCCAAAAATTGTATATATAAGTAAATATATATAATTTTTTACAACTAGTAAGGTGTAACTTAATTTCTTATTTTCTGAAATTACTTTACTTTTTCAATTCCATATTTTCCAGCTGACTACTCAGCCGTGCTGTCTTCTCAAGTAAATCTATAAACTATATCACTAAATATCGTACGTATTCCACTAAACTAATATAATATACATACAAATAATAAAGATGTCGCACTGCAAATAAATACAAAATAAGCTATTCAGTACTCTTGCGCAGCTACAGGGATGCACACTCTCACATGAGTGTACTGAAAGTATGTTCCTGCACAACTCAGTATTTTTTTTAGTGAAATATGACGTAATGTAATAGACATTTTTATTACTAGTTTTATTAATATTTTTTTGTTTTAATATTTAAACCATATTTTTAATTAAAAGAAAGACACTGTTTATCTACAACCTATGCTAAGAATTGTAAGGATTGTAGCAATAACGGACCGAATTTTGAGTGGTCTTGTTGTAGAGTGCATTTTTTGGAACTAATTTTGTTATGATTACGCAAAAATTCATTTGGTACGTTATTATTATTATCATTATGTATTGTATAAGTTTATAGAATACAATGAATTAAAACACGCGATTTATATATATATATATATATATATATATATATATATATAATTATTATAGTTTTATATATAACTCTCGTTACAGGTGATAAATAGTAAAGGCACTGAAAAGAAAGATTGCATGTTTAACCTGCTCTAGGACATATTTAAATAATAGCGCACCTAAAATGTCACTATTTTCCTTAACGTACTGCTTACATTCATTCAATATAAAATGTTCATTGTAAATTATTGAACTTTGTCAGTGCGTTGTTGGTACATTTTAAGGAGACGCAGTAAGCGGCAACTACACAGAAAGCAATTAGGAATTGCACTGTACCGCTTCTGTAGTCATCTGTCCGTATATGAGGCACTTTTGTGTGCATTGCATTGTACCCTACTAACATTAGTATTCAGTAATTTACTAACAATTATATTAGTCAATGTTACTTGAATTAATAGTACATTGTGTATTAAGGGCGGAAAATAAGAATTTACTAACGAGAGTCTATTAGAAACCCGAAGCCGAAGGCTGAGGGCTTTAAAATTCTAAGTTTGTAATTCTTACCACCCATGCTACATACAATGTTTTTCATCATATTTGCTAGGAAATAGATACGATAATTTATTTCTTGTATGAATAAATATAAGAAATTTTTTTTAAACAGATTGCCATAATTTCTTCAATAGATAATACTATTAAAATAAATAACTAAATAACCAAAAAAAAATAACCAATAAATAATAACTCAATCTAAAATGTTATAAAAGGCACAGACGCATGCAGCCACAATGTATTACACACTACTTAATAATTAATAATGACACTAATTCATAATTTCCAAATTCTAAAAATACTGCAGAATTTGAATTCATAAAATAAACTTAGTTAAATATATTTAAATTGCAAATATGTTTAGTTTATTTTATACTTCAGGCTTATGAGAAATCTTATAAATCTCAGATTTTTGAGCATAAAGACTTTTTGCTTTAATCTTGACGTCGAAAATCAATAGGGCAATAATGTAATGAAAAAGTCCGTGGACATAATAGAGGACATTACTATCGACTTTGCTTGCATGTTATTACACTGTTTACGAGCAAGTGTGATTTTTGACATTATTCTAATATTCTGAGAGAGTATTATAATATTCTGATATTTTAGTTTACGGTAAACGCGTGACTGTCCACGATCGAGTTAACGCTCGTAATGGGTTAGTCTGTTGATGGTAAGTGTAAAGGTAATACCGAATGGAGAATGTAAGGCGGAAATGAGGTAAATGGAGATTTGAATGCTTTTATGGTAGACCAACGTGTCGAAAAGAGGTGCTTTTGACTGATTATTGGGGCGTGTTGGACCTTGATGCTATAGTGAATGTTGGATGTATCAAAAATAGCGTAGAACAAGTAGGGTGAATGTTGTAGAAATTAGAGCGTTGCGCAGCCCATGTGGTGTAAGCTATTAGAGAAAACCAAGGAACAGTATAATAAATTGTTATTGTGGTGTCAAAGATGTAGTGAGTAGATACAATAATACGGTTTTTTTGGTCTCTAACTAGGGAATTCCCTGTCCTATGGGTACAAGAGCAACGGAATCCACTCAGGGGCACTTTATACCCAGAACCAATTTAGAAAAGTTCATTTCTCGAATTGGTCCAATCGGGAATCGACCCCGCCACCTCTTCATACGTCCTGGTACATGTATGAAAATCCTGATGCTAGTGGAGGAATCAAATGGGGTGTAGCAGGAGTATGGCTGGTGGAGGGTCGCAGTCCCTGCCTCCAGCAATGGGAGACATACTGTGTTATTTATTGTATGATGATTTAAGTAAATAGTTATCATTATTAATTAGTTTAGAATTGCGCAATGTAGTGGTACCTGTGTCAAGCACCTTATTACAGTTTTCTAATACCTGCAACTCTAGGAAACTAGTTACGCTACTCTGTGGTCACTTCTGGATTAACAAGTTCAGATGAAACCGAAAACTCCCTTTCGATTTCTATCGAGGCCACGTCTTAAAGCGGATCACTTTGATTCCGGTCATCGTCCCAAATTACTATCAATATCATGATGCTATTATGTTATAATACACAATCGTGCAAAAAGAGCGGGGAGTCATAGCTTGAATAAAAGAAAACACCACGTCCACGGCTCGGTGAGAGTGACTGTTGACTCCGTCCATGACGCACGCATTACTGACGCGAGAAAGTTTTTACGAATTTGGCGGTAATTCAAATTTAAAACTCAATCATACATTTTGGAACACTACGTCTGAGTAGTGATCTTATTGGGTTATAAAGTGAAATTGAAAGTCTAGCTGTGTCCCTTTTGCACTTAGGTGATAAGTGTAGTGACAGACGTGTGTGTAAGGTGCGAGATACTTTCGCCGCTTAGTTCACAATACAGGATGACGCGTTATATCAAGGTAAGGATTAAATAGACATTGACACTAGAAAGAACATAACTTTCATAGCAATAACAATGGTTTAACTCAAGGAAACACTTAACAGTAAAATAGTTAAGCGTGCGGTAGAAAGCCCTGGGTTTGCATTATTTTCCATTTTACTTTCTTACCACGCTGTTAATTGTTTACTGAGGAAAAATATAAAGTATTTAATAAGATGCTTTTACTGTAGAGTTAATTTCATATAGTAATAAACCTATACAATATATAGCTTATTCTAACTGGATATAATTAAACACGCGTACTTTTGTACTCTGTCAACTTATATAGGTACGTTTTACTTCTGGGCAGGATTCATACCAAAACGTTTCTTTTAGGCGATATTGCTGGTACAATGTGGATTGAGTTTTAGTAATACAGGGTGTAATATAATACAGGGTAATAATTAAGTGTGCCCATACGATTATTCCGTAAATACATGAGATATAAAAAACCTTAAAACTGATATCGAAAGTACGTTACATAATGAGTAAAACGACATTAATAACTTTTTTTAAATAAAACTAGAAATATACAAAATTTTAACTCTAAACGCTCCCACACATTTAGTATTGGTTTTAGTTTCGAACAACTGCTGATACAATATTTTGTAGTTATATAAAAATAAATATCACTTTGTATTTATTAAAAAAAAATAGTTTTATTACTTTATTTATAGCAGCTTCGTTATCTGTAAACTTATTGTTACCTCTTAAGGTAGATCACAAAAATTGAGAATTCCTGGCATTATGAGTAGCAGAGTAACGGAACTCACTTCTAGTCACTACCCAGAACACACAATTGAACCTGGTACCTTATCCAGTTATTTCAATCACAGAGGTCCACATAGTTTAGAGATAGTTTGATAAGAAACCCAAAAACGTTTAACCAATTTATAGTAAGTATTATAGGTAAATTTAAAAAAACTGTTTTTACTGTTGGTGGTCATGCAGTTTTATATACTAAATCATTACAAGTTTACACTCTACATGATCACGGACTGACTGGGTCCCTTCCGAAACATCGTAAAACAATAAGAAATCTAATGTGGTAAGTAACCCTATGATATGATTAATGATAAACAACTAAGGGCGCGTTCCCATTATGTCGTGACGACAGATAATCATGTGGTTTAAATTAGCTTGTACATTTAAATAAAGTTGTTCACACATAGAACATCACGATTAACTGTCGTTCACGACTTTTTTGACGTTACGACGACAGACTTTCGTGACAATGGGAAGAGCCAGAACGACAGTCGTCTGACGATAAAAGAATCGTCATGATAAAAATGTGACAAGGCGGCTGCGTGGACAGATAAATAGTCGTCACGATGTAGTGGTAACAGCTAGACACTACATTCGCTCAACGATAAAAAAATGTCCACGACACAGTTACGACAGATAGTCGTGACATGGGAACAGGCTAGACGCGACAGTCGTCTAACGATAAATAAAACGTTACGACATGATGGGAACGCGCCCAGAATATCCACGAAAGTTTTAAGGCCAATAAATTGCGTTGGTAGCGCGAAATAATAGCTTTTTACCATTTTTTTTACAATTTTCACGAAATTGGCAGCCAAAAGTTACACCTTTATTGCACACGCGTTTGGGGCAATTCATAATACATCTAAAATTCATATAATTTTTCACGTACAATCTTTAAATTAATCAAAATATCATTGTTCGCAAATAATAAATACGAAGGTCGCGTCTTTGTCTAAAGTATAAATACTGAAATTCTCGAGTTCATCAGGTAATCGAATTTTTATTTCGCTTTTCTTTAAGTTACTAGTCAGAATTTTTCTTTATTATTATTTGTAAATGCAATAAAACACCTTTCTATTACCAAGATGCTTTCATTAAAATGTTATATCAAATCATGTGTGAATAAGAAAGATTGTACATATATATCTCTCACACATTCGCCAAGTTTCACTCATCAAAACAATAGTTTAAAAAAAGTGTGATCCGCCGTCGGCATAGATGGTAATTATCAGGTAGGTACACGTCGTATCACAAAAGGTTTTCTTTAGAATAATAAAAAGTTCTCCAATCTTTTAAATGATATGATTTCATAGTGTTAGTTAAAATGCTTATTGTTGTTGGTTTACGTTATACGTTGGAACAAACTTACATAAACTTATTAGTCATAACATTTCTACTTAATTCTATAACTGAACGAAACTCAAAGTAAGTTCAGTATTGAATGTCTTCTGTGTTGATGCTTTTTTAAAATTTGCATTTAAAAGATTGGCGAGCTTTTCAATTTTTAAAGGTAAGCTAATGGGTTTTTTACGGGCTGTAGAGTATCTTTTTTGCTGACGTAAAGCAGCACTGCTGCTACATTCATAAATATTTCTTTTTTATGATACTAATTGGCGGGAGGAAAAAGTCGTACACGTGGTAGTAAGCGCCATACTTGTCCATAGCAGTTGCAGCGCCGTCCAGAGCTTTAAATCGCAAAAATCTGAGGGACACTGCCACTACGCCCATCACTCTGAGATATACGTTGGCAAGCCCCATGTGCATGTAATTTCCAAAACGGTACACTTGGCGGCAAAAATAGGTAAGGTGGCAGTACTTCCCTAGACGAATTCTTTCATATGGAGCTCTACTGTTGCTACGATTAGGACTTTGAAAAAGAATAATTAGCACGTGTCAAAGGTTAGGGTTCTCCCGGCAGCAGACCTTACAGTGAGGTGGTTTTTGTACTGTAGAGTAAAGGAGAATCATATATTTTGACCATCATTAGCTTACACTACGTTTTTCTTGGCATGGCCTCCACTCTAGAAACACAAGTCTGCTCCATTACGGCCATCCGCCCTTTTGCAGACATGTTCGCTCACTGCCACTTAAGTTTACTGATTTTGCAAGTTATGTCGATCACTTTAGTTCTCTGACGTATGTTTTCGTTAAGAATTCGATCCATCAGAGAAACCCCAAGCATAGTTTGCTCTGTCACACGTTGAGCGACTTCGAATTTGTGGATGAGGCCTGTTGTTAATGGCTACGTCTCGGCTCCATAGGACATAATTTTAACCATAAATATAATATTAAAATATAATTCTTAACATGTCCTAGTGTAAACTTTTCATAGTAGACATAGAAACGAAACTCCAATGACTGTTACAAATTATCCAAACAAAACTAAACCACGTCCTTTCTCGTCAAATATGTTTTTCACAATGGCGGCCGCCGATCGATGGCGATGATATCGATTTATTTTTTATTTAGATAAAACTAATTCTTAATGACGGAAAGTAAGTTTTCTAATAAAATAAAATAATAAAAAAAAAAAAAAATTACTTAATGTCACGATTCGCTAACACAAGAGTATGTTGGGAAGTAGGTCAATAATTCTGGATTTTACCTTACCGTATGTATATAAAATATCTAGCAAACCCACAGCTTATATTGTGTACGTAATTCCTGTGTAGTAATAAATTAAAAGCCACAAGGTTCATTGAAGATTACGTTACATGAACAGAATTCTCGCTGCGGGAATTTACCCTTTACATAAAAACAATAACAATTGTAAAAATTTATACAATATACATTAATGAAAAATTTTCATGATAACTATTTCCTCCATCATTAGAAACCAGAACAATTGAATTGGACCATTTTTGTTACGATGTGACGTGACGTGACGTTCAGCTAGTAACAGATTATTTGGTCTGTGGTAACACATCATTATTATAGTAATAATAAAGCGACGTGTTTCCTACGTGTTTAATAAAATATTGAAACACACTTTAGGTTTCGTTTTTAGAGGGAAAAAACCTTAACCAATATCTCGGATCGTTCTTTTATTTAAAGTTATGTAAAATTATGTAATACGTAGCTAAAGACTTGCATAATAATACCAATCATTTAAGTTAATTAACTGTATTGATTTTTTTTACGTAATTACTCCACTAGTATCTTAAGTAAAATTAATAATTATCAATAATAATAACGTTCACACTCAACATAGCCCCGCACTAGGGAAACCCTGAGTCGCGGGTGCCATGGCCGTACACATATAGAAAAATTACACCCAAACTCACGAGAGAAATAAATGTAGGCCATATAAATATATTCTAGGGTCTGCTAAGTGGTAATCGAGTATGGTAACCGTTCGGCCACAGAGGCAGTAGCAGGAGAGCTCTTTGCAGAAGAGTTCGTCTAGGGAAGTATTGCCACCTTACCGGTTTCTGCCGCCAAGCAGTTATGTATGCATTACTGTTTGTACTGTGTTCCGGTTTTGAAGGGAAAGGGTGCTGATGAAATTACAGGCACATGGGACTTGTCAACTTATGTCTCAGGGTATCTATTTTTATCACATAAAAGTCCTAATATTAATAACAATATCGGCCGTAATAACGCCGCCGATACCTTTGTATTTTTTTTTGTATTTTACACTTTAACATGTATTTTAGCAGGTATAATGAACGTAAATGTACTTAATATTACATTTAAATAAAAGTATGAATAGGATGTACAGTTGAAGATAAGTCTAAGGTGAAGAAGAGATCATTGTTCACTAATGATACAATCTGGAAGTCATGCCAAATGAATTTTACGACTTACAGGTTAAATGTTAAGCTTGTTGTCTATGTCTGTGTCCATGGCACCCGCGATACAGGGTTTCCCTAGTGCATTAATATTATAAATTATGACACGCTGGAGTGGAGATATCAAAATAACGTAATACTATTGATTCCTGAAACACCTCTTACACTACTTTTGCGTTGCTAAATAATAAAGTTGACAACTCCACAAGTAAGGAAAAGTTTCATCTTTGTAACCAGTCTGGTCACGCAGTGAATGTTACTTTCAAACATTTTAAAAACGAATTAGCTTTTAACTACCTCTTTAGTAAATTTTGTAATCTTTTATTAGAACGTACCTCGCAGGAAGTGAATGGTGTCTTCGAATTTCATAACAGAATATAAATAACTGTATGGATATATACGTAAGTGAGTGCTCGTCAAT